TTTTTAAATGAGTTAATTTATTTGAAAGGCAGAGTGACAGTAGGAGAGGAAGATACAGAGATATATAGAAAGAGGCTGGATCACTCCCCAGATAGCTACGGCAGCCTGGTCCGTGCCAGGCCAGAGCCTGGAGCCAGGTTCTCTATCCAAGGTCTCCCACTGGATGGTAGGTATCTAAGTACTTGGTCATCCTGTGCTGCCTTCCCAGGCACATTAGCAGGAAGCTGGATTGGAAGTGAAGCAACCAGCAGTTGAACCTGTGGTTTGATATGGGATGCTCATGTCACAAGCCGTGGCTGAAAACCCCTGTGCTACAATACCAGCTGCTGATGTAGAACTTTCTAAAGTCGGTTTAAAAAAAAAAACATGCAAAAACAATCTTGTCTTTGTCATAACGCCTTGTTTACTTAAGTGTCTTTCCTCCTTTCCCTCTTGGTAGGTGTCACTAGAGCGTCATTGCATCCGCCTTGTAAATATCCAAGTGTCTCTTGGACACTTGCTGCTCCCTTTAGTTTAGTTCCGACTATCTGCTCCTGGTAAGTGAGGTGCATGGATGAAACCCAGCACTTCCCAGCCCACTTGCAGTGAGTCATGGTCCTGGGAAGACGTGAAATGAAAAGCCTGAGGAAATGGTGCGTCATAGCATTTGAATTCTTTCCTTGTTGCATACAGATATATTAGCCTGACCCTATTTATATTGTTGTTAAAGTTGTTCACTTCCTGCTTATTTTTATCTTCTGGATCTTTCCATTTCAGAAATAGTTGTACGACATTCTGCAAGCTATAACTGTTCATTCCTTCCTGTTTTCTCAGTTGTTGCTTTACATATTTTGAGACTATATTTTTGGGTGCCTACATGTGCATGCCAGTTGCATTTCTTCTTCTGTTTTTTGTTTTGTTTTGTTTTTTGAAGTATTTGTGTCAGGGCTGGCATGACGGCACAGCAAGCTAATCCTCCGATCTGTGGCACTGGCATGGAATACGGGCTCCGGTTCAGATCCCGACTGCTCCACTTCTGACTCAGTTCCCTGCTTGTGGCCTGGAAGGGTGAAGGGGGGATGGACCAAAGCCTTGAGATCCTGCACCTGTATGGGACACACAGGGAAGAAGCCCCTGGCTCCCAGCTTTGGATCAACTCAGCTCTGGTCCCGGTGGCCTTTCAGGGACTGAACCAGCAGATGGAAGATCTTCTGTCTATCTTTCCTTCTCTCTCTGTAAAAATCTTTCTAATAAAATTAAGTCATTTTTAAAAAGAATTGTTTATGTGTTTAAGAGGCAGAGAGAGAAAGAGAGCTCTCACCTGCTGCTTCCCTTCCCACATACTTGTAATAGCCAGGGCTGGGCTGAGGCTAAAGCCAGGAGCCCGGGGTTCAGCCCAGGTGTCAGTGGCTGGAACCCAGTTCCTTGCTCCTCCCCATCATCCGCACCGCCTGCAAGGTGGAGCCAAGAGCCTAACCCAGACACCCTGTTGTGTGAAAGGGGCCTCTTTCCCACTAAGCTAAATGCCCACTTCCTCTCGCTTTATTTTTAAAAAACTACCTTCCCCTCTTCACGTGATTCACTCTTTACATTGGGTTTGAATTCATATTAAACTTGCTGCCCTATTTTTTTTTTTGGTATTTGCTATCTTTTTGTTTTCAACTTTTACCAGTGTCTTTGTAAACTGTATGTTTGTTCAACAACATCCTGGGACATTTTCCCAAATCCAGTACTGTTTCGGGTTTATACTTAGTGAGCTATTCCCATTTCTGTCTTCTCATTTTTTTTAATTGAAGATCACTACACACGCAGAGAAGGCCCGCATGGGGAGCATGCAGCGGGAATAATTTTTTTTACCAAAAAACAAACAAAAAAGTCCCGGTATCAAGTCCCCATGTACTCTCAACACCCCGCAAGCCCTTCATCTCCCTCCAAATGGCCACAACGGCCAGGGCTTGTCTGGAGTGAAGCTGAAATGCTGGGTCTCCATCTGGTCTTCCCCATGAGTGGCAAAGGCCGGAGGACCTGAGCCACCTTCCTTTGATTTCCTTGGCACTTTACCTGGGGGCACCATTAGAAACAAAGCAGCCGGGGCTCAAACCAGCGCTTATCTGGCATGCCAACGTCACGCAGTGACTTAATCCGCTGTACCCAATGCCAGTCCCTGGTTTCATCATCTATTAAAATTTTTTTTTCTATTGATTTACTTCTATTCCAGTTGAAAGAGCAGTGGGGAGAGAGAGAGAGAGAGGAATTTTGTTTTACCTGCTGTTTATTCATTCCTAAGTGTCCACAATAGGCAGGGCTGAGCCAAGCTGAAACCAAGACCCTGGAGCTTAATCCAGGTCTCCCATGAGGTCCATACCCCTCTCAGGGTGGACAATGGCAGCAAGCCGGCTCACAGGTGCAGGACGTAGGATTCTGACAAGGTGATCCAGCACGGGACATGGGCATCCCAAGGGGCGTGTCGGCCACTGTACTGAATGGCCACCTTATGGTCTCCTTCACACTCACTGTTGCCTTCAGATGCTTCCGTTTTGATGAGATCAGGTCTCTGGCACAAGGAATTCACTCTGTCCTCTGAAATCCCTTCGTACCAGGCCCACAGTAAATGCTGCCCGAGTTTCCTGAGCCTTGTCTGCTGGGCTTCAAGCACGGATTTGGTCCATGGCTTCCCCAGTGATGCCAATGGGTGAACTGTTTATCAGCTCTCGCCAGAGAAAAATTGAGAATGGAAATGCTTTGGGGTTTTGGAGTCTTCATTATGTGCAGATTGATTATGTTAATAATAGAATGTTCATTGATTCCTTGGTGGGCTTACATTTTTATCATGACCTGGCCACATTTGAGGAAATTGAGCATCACAATATTATTCTCGGATTAGCAAGCCAAGGGAGATTGGCCACACGGAGATGGGGAAAGTAGTTTAGGTATATGTATGTGAAGGCATTGGTGCCTCTTTTCTAAGTCAGAAATAATGTTAAGACAGCAGCATGTATGTAAGTCTTTGTGTTAACGCTAGATGATATTTAGGGATAGAATTCCCCCAAGGCTGCCCCTACATGCACACATGGCCCACTTTCACCTTGTTGGTTCTGCTAACCGAGGCCCAAGGCCACACTGTTGGACAGGTGGGCAGCAAGCACTGACCCACCATGCTTTTCCTTGAATCTACAAGGTACTGGGCTCAGAGACTCCCCCTATGGCGGAAGCCATCTGCACAACTGCATCGGGGTAAGAACTGGGCACCTAGGGCACCAGGCCATGCTGGGAAGACATACTCAAGTGCCTGAGCTCAGTGTCCGGCATCTTGTGGGGTTTTGGGAGGAGGGGTCCCCTGAGCCCCTGCATTTACTCCTTCTCCATTTCAGCAAAGGTTTTCTGGACTTGGGCGGTGATGACAGCGTGACCAGTGGAGTGTGGTCCTTGAGCACTGGTACCTTGACAGGCAGTGTGTTGACCCGCTCACGGGCAGGCAGGGCATACAAAGCAGATACACTGGACCAAAGTGTGATTCACATTCCTGTGGGTGCTGGGCGAGTGGAACAGAGAATCAGTCTTATGATACTGCTCAGAACAGGCCCCAGAAAGAACAAACATGTTCCTTGTTTCTGGGATTTCCTACTGAGTATTTTTGGATCTCTGCTGAACTTACGTGACTGATACCATGCTATGACTAGAGGGGAGGAGGTGGAGTGGGGTCTCGCCAGTGGGCAGAGGGCCCCAAAATATGAGGGGCACAGGCCACTAGCCAAGGGCCTGGGTTCAAAGCCCAGCACCCACCTGGATCCTGGGCGTGCCACACACCTCCTGTGGTTCAATGTCTGCCAGGGTGAGGGCCTGCTGTGTTGATGATGCACTCAGAGAGTTGGGATGGAGCTCAAGAGAGAACCAGGCACCAGGAGAAGGGCTCTGAGTGTTGGCTGCCAGGGTCAGGGGTGGAAAGGGTTCACTTTCCACGCACTCCGTGGAACGGGCCACAAGACTTGCCGCTGACTTGGTTTGGATTTTGTCAGGTTGGTGGCTTGACAAGTGAGTGCTATGACTTGTCCCAGGGGAGAAACTCAGCATCACACAAGGCTCTGAGTCTAGCAGCCAAGCCAGTGGATAACTAACGTTCCTCCCAACGTTTGACTTGGATGGGAAAACAACCTTGTCTCTGCTTTCTCTACCGGAAACTCAGCATTTCCTCCTGGCAAAGTGCAGAGTGCAGCAAACTCACGGTGGCTTTTTTTTTTTTAGAAGTAAGAATCATTCCAGCTCCTTCGGCTATCCCTACCTCATGTTTACCTTTGTCACCATGTCCAGATCTTGCTAAAAGGCATGTTCGTGAAACCGCTTCAAAAACACTCTCGGAAAATGGAACCCAAAGGTGAGTTTCTTTTACACCAAAAATGATCCAAATCCATGCACCCAAACAAGAGTCATGGAAAATGTGCATTAGGTAAAAACATGAACAACAGCAAAAAACCATGCATGCATTAAAATTTTTTTTTCTGCACCAAAAGCAGCATATTTTTGAAGTCCATTTTCCCCATGAATTCTTTGCAAGTCCCCTGATACGTCTATGCCACAAGTTTGTTTCACAAAGCTATTCTGGTAGCTGTTGCAATTCTAGTGATTTCTTTGATAATTCCTATGTGCTTCATTGGGGGCATTGAAAACGTTACTCTGAGAGAGAGAGCAGGTCCCTGCCGCCCTAGGACAAGGAGGGGTGCATGGCACAGGAACAGTGACAGGGTGGGACAATGAGCTGGGTGGGGGGTTACTCTCTCTCAACTTCTGCTCCAGGGAGGGGCTGGAGCTCATTTAGGAAGGCCGGATTGGGCCGCACCTGCACCGCCCTCTCCTCTGAGACACACCCACAGCATTCACACACCAAGCATGCTTGGGTCTCTATGCTCTGGGGACAGGAGACACCTGCAGGTTGGGCCCCGAGGCCACATCAGCTCCCTTCCAGCACTTGGCCCAGGCCCTACCCTGACAGAAAGCTGAAGGGAACTAGCAGCTCCAGGCTGTGGCTTCCTTCCTCCTGGTCACGTGGGGCAGGCTGGCTCCTGTGCCCCGAGCCTGGGGGCCCACAGCTTCCTCTGTCTGCCCTGCCCAGAGCCAGGAACAAAGCAGCAGCATGGGCACAGGGAGTCCGATGCTCACGACCCTCCTCTTCCTCCTGGGTAAGTGGGGGCACAGGGTGGCTGTTCTCTGGGCTGGGGCAGAAACCTGGGGGGACCCTCAGCTCAGAGAGGCTCGTCCTTACAAAAGGCACAGGGCGATTGACTTCTCTTGCTAGGATCAGTAGTGAGCAGTGCTCTGGCTTGTTTCATGTCAGTTGGGCTGATGGTCAGAACGAGCTTCGGGCTTGGGATCTAGAAATATCTAGAACGTCAGTGTCCTGAATTCTCTGGGTATCCGTCTTCTGGGTACCAGTGGATGGTCAGGGATATAGAATGAGGACATATCGCCTTGGGATGGTCACTGCACTGGTAAGGGATAATCAGGGTGCTTGCGCCATGTATAGTGTGGCCCTAAGATGCCCGCTCCCCCTTTTTTTCCATCAGCTCCAGGCTACGGCATTGAAGGAAGGAGGCAGAGCCAGGGCCAGCAGAAAGCAGAGGTCAGAGAGGTGGATGGGAGACAAAGAAACCGAGAGATACACAGCTACCTTCAGTTCATGGGCACATGGAATTCAAGGATTAGTTGGGTGCAAAAAGTTTTGAATCTCATGCCTATGAGAGGGTCTTCAAAAAGTTTGTGGAAATGCGTATTGGACACATTGCCTCGCCAATGCCTCTACATTCTTTGGCGCCTATGGAAGCCCAGCTGCAAACCCTCCTCCCCTTTGTAGAGAACAAGGCTCAGGGAGAGGTATGAAGCCCTGGGTAAACCGAAATGGAGATGCTGATAAGGCACTTTGCAAAAGCTCTTTCGAAAGCAACTGAATAAGGTAACAGATATGCCCCAACCACACACAGCAGCACCTTCGCATGGCTTGCCCTGGGCCAACCCTCTAAGGAAAGCAGTGTGGACCACAGTGGGGTTAACAGCCTGTACCATGGATACAGGCAAAGTTACTCTGGCAGGCAGGAAGGCTGTTGGGGAATAACGGAAACCTTTGTTTCGGGGAGCTTGCCATGAGGTTGACTCCCATCAGTATACACATGGAATTGAGCTGCTGCAAGTGGCCAGGAGGGGAGGGCAGAGCCCAGCAAGCAGTGACAGAGAGAAGGCAGGGTAGCAGATACAAGGCGAGCCTGCCCAGGCAAGTGGCAGAAGATAAGTGCCATTCCATCCCCAGCTTCTGTTTTTAATCTTGTTGAGAGGGTCCAGCATTGCGACACAGTGAGTTAAACCACCACTTGCCATGCTGGCATCTCATATGGGTGTTGGTTCAAGTACCCGCTGCTCTGTTGCCCATCCAGCTCCCTGCTAATGCGCCTGGGAAAAGAAGGAGATGGGTCCTTGTCACCCATGTGGGGAGACACAGGTGAAGCTCTTGGCTCTCGGCTTCTCAGTGGCTCTGCTCTGGCTGCTGGGGCCAATTAGACATATGTGCCAGTGGAGCAGAAAAAGCAAGTAAGTTGAACCCCAATGCCACATGTGCACATTTTGGTTTTTCTTTTTAAAGATTTATTCTATTTGCTTGAAAGACAGAGTTATAGGGTGGGGGGAGATAGAAAGAGAGAGATTCTTCATACACTAATTTACTCCCCATATAACTGCAAAGATCAGGGTTGGGCCAGGTTGAAGCCAGAAGCTAGGAGTTTCTTCCAGGTCTCCCACATAGGTGTACAAGTCCAAGGACTTGGGCTCTTCTCCGCTGCTTTTCCCAGGCCATGAGCAGGGAGCTGAATTGGAATCAGAGCAACCAGGACTCACACTGGCACCCGAGTTGGTTGCTGGCATCATTAGTTATGGCTTAACCAGCTATGCCACAGCATAGATCTCAAATGTGTTCATTTTATGTACAGGTAGTTCACGAAGCATTATGAACATTAAATCTACAAAGTGTTCCAGTTTGCAACCAGTAAAAGAAATAGCAACTTCTCAAGTGGCTCAATCGTTTCTGAGGTGCAGATGACTCTGCTAAAACTGATGTTGGCTCATGCGTCCTCATAAGCCGTGGATGCCATTGTCTGTGTTCACATTTGCTTCCTTGGCCAAGGGCATAGCCAGCTCGGCGGCGGAGTGGCTCTGTGTGAGAGCTAGGTCTATTGTCTCTATTGCCAATCCTTGCCCTCCACTGATCTGGAGGACGCGAACCACATTCTCACCCACTCTGAACTCAGTGTTTCCATCTGCCGGTCGGGGGTCACAGATGGACTTAGTCCAGATGCTGGTGAGAAAATTCTACCTGTTGGTGCCTTCGTAGCACTTGATGTGGAGTCTGACACATGTGGTGCCCCATCATTGCTGGGTTTTGGGGGACTATTCTGGAGCCAGTCTTCTCAGGGGGGTAGTTGGACACCATACACAGAAACCCCACCTCAAGGAACTAACAGAGGGAAGCTCATTCACCCCCATACTTTATAAGGTGTTAGTGCAGCTACAGCCACAGGGGAAAAAAACCTAACATTTCACACACACCGCAGTATACATTGATGAAGAACACTGCTTTCCAGGAAGTGGCAGGAACAGAAAGTGGCCATATGCTAGCTGTGGTTGTATATCTAGCTGTCTGCCCATCAAAAGATGGCCTGGCAGGAAACCCATTCAACAGCTCCTGGCATCCTCTACTCTTGGTAACAGATAGGTTAATGGGGCATCTTCCACTGTCTCCACATTGGGATTTTAATAATCATCATAGAATGATAATCCCAATACATAAATTTCTGTACACAGACACACACACACACACACACACATAATAGTATGGAAACCTGTTGAAAGTAAGTTAATGCAGAGTGTATCTTTCCTTTAACTAGCTGGTGCAATGCATGTTAGGAATTGAGCAGACTGCCTGGGAGGTAGGGAGACCAGCACGGTCTCCCACAGAGGGTGTGGGAACTGCTGGAGAAGCTGGAGGGGACATGGGGACAGCCCTGAGGCTTCCAAGGCTCACAGGCATGAACAGGTGACCCAGATCCAGGGCCTCTGGTTCCCCACAACGGAGAACAGTCACAGGGAGATATTGAAATGCTATAAACACATACTTGAAACACCTAGTGTGACGTTCTTGGCTCTCACATTCTTGGCTCTCACACTCCGAACCGACGAAGATTAAAATGTGAATATTCTCTTATTTGACGATCAGAAGCTTGATGGCTGTACCCACCAGGGAGATGCCATGCCGGCCACAGAGGTGTTTGCTGCCCCTGTCTTGTCTCCCCAGGAAGGCAGGCAGCCCCTGGTTTGGGGTCTGCTCTATCTCTGACTGGCATGAACGAACCCACCAGAGCGCCTCTCCCTTTGACCCATCGCGTCTCTTAATCACTTAGGGATTGCTAAAGAAACACCGTCATTTACCTGTTGGAGCCTGCCCTGCCCGGCTGATGGGGCTGTTCTCGCCTCAGACCTGCCTGCCTGTGTGGGATGAGCCATCCTACACCTGCTCCTGCCCGCAGCACTCACGCTGGCTGCTCTGTTAGCTCATGCCCTAGAAGGCAGAGGCTGTGCCAGGCGGCTCTGTGTAGTTCTCCTTTTCCTGTATATGAATGGAACTTCCCAAAGTCCCCAGAAACGTGGAGTTCCAAGATGCTGACTTTGGTAGGAGAAGGTTTTAAAAGACAGGCACAGGTTCCCAAATTGTACATTTTTCATGAACCCTTTGAAGCTCCTCAGACTGGGTGGATTCCAAATTTTTCTTTTTTTTGCTTGCATCAAAAGTCAACTGATTTTTTTTAAAGATTTATTTTTATTATTTTTTTATTGGAAAGGCAGATATACAGACAGGAGAGACAGAGAGGAAGATCTTCCGTCCGATGATTCACTTCCCAAGTGAGCGCAACGGCCAATGCTATGCCGGTCCGAAGCCAGGAGCCTCTCCCGGGTCTCCCACGCAGGTGCAGGGTCCGAAGGCTTTGGTCTGTCCTCGACTGCTTTCCCGGGTCACAGGCAGGGAGCTGGAAGGGAAGCGGGGCTGCCGGGATAGAACCGGCGTCCATATGGGATCCCGGGCATGCAAGGCGAGGACCTTAACCACTTGTGCCACCACGCCGGGCCCAAAAGTAAACTGATTTTTAATTCCCCTTTTCAACAAACTTTCTGAGATTCCTTGACATTGCTAAATTGGCTCAGCACCAGGGTGTGGCTCCATCTGTGTCCCTCCATGCTCAGTAAGCCTTTTTTTTATATATAACTGTCATGTGTCTCAATTTTTGCTTATTGAAAGGGTGCAAGGCACCCCCTGGAAGTTTCCAGGTCGTGTGCTTCTAATCCCATGCCAATTTCCCAATATTAGCCAGTTTCTGATAAATTTCCCTTCACTGGTCACTTTCCTAAATTTAATTTGATTATTGATCTTTAGTGCCTGTTTTCTGAGCATTAATTATGTGTCTGAGTGTTAAAACATCCTGTCTCAGGATGCCATTTATCTTTCATCTTTGTCTTTCTGTCTTTCGTTTGCTACAAGTCCGATACATCGGCAAATGTGATCTGACTTTTCTTTTTGGTATATTTGGTTCTCCTGCTGTGTCTAAGAAACAGTTTATTTTTTTTTTTTAACTTGAAAATGGTTGAATTGAGTTTGAAATGTAGTTTTGTGTGTGGCCTCGAAAAAGAATCTAATTTTAATCTTTTTTTTTTTCAAGGATGTATTTATTTATTTACTTGAAAGGCAGAATGATAGAGATCTTCCAACTGGTGGTCACTTTGCAAATGCGGACGATAGCCACGGAGATGGGCCAGACCAAAACCAGGAGCCAGCAACGCCATCTGGTCTCCTACACAGGTGACGAGGGTGCAAGCACGCGGAAAGCATCCTTCGCTGCTTTCCCGGAGGCCTGAGCTGGGCCCGGGAAGCAGAGCTGCGGGCATTGGCATGCAGATCTGAGATCCTAGCCTCGCAGGCACTGGCTTAACCCTTTGTACCATGATGCTGGCCCTCAGTGTGCATATCTCATCTTCTGTTTTAAGATTGTTTTCTTCAGGACCCGGCATGATAGCGTAGTGGTTAAAGTCCTCACCTTGAACGCGCTGAGATCCCATATGAGTGCCGATTCTAATCCCAGCAGCCCTG